GGCTCCGGCTCCGGCTCCGCCAGCGCCGCCTCTGCGTGTGCGGGCACGGCGCGTCACTTGCACACGCATGCCTTGCACGCGCGCCGCCTCTGCATGTGCAAGCCACGCGCCTCAGGTGTATTGCACGTGCACCTCGTAGGCACGGCTTGCACGCACCCCGTGTATGGCTTGCACGCACACATATGGCACACGCGCCTCGCATGTGTGGCTTGCATGCGTGGGCGCACATTGTGCATCTTGCACGCGCGCACGTCGCATGTAGTGCTTGTACAGATGCATCACATGCATGCACGCCTCGCCTGTGTCGATTGCACATCTGTATGGCACATGCAACTCAGGTGGATTGCTTGCACGCGCGCACACACACACATCGTGCGTATTGTTTGCACACACGCTTCACAGGTATTGCTTGCACATAGACGCACGTGACGCCTGTTGCACACATGCACACAAATTACATGTATTGCTTGTACAGACGGCGTATGTATCACTCATGCACACGTGCATCGTGTGTATGGCTTGCACACACGTCATGCATTGCAGATATCCACACGCACATCACATGTATTGCTGGTGCACACCACACATTGCACACACGCATCGTGTGTTGCACACATCACATGTATGGCATGCACGCATATGCATCACATGTATTGCTTGCACATATATACATAGCGCGTGTTGCACATGCATGTCTGCTTGCACATGCACACACATGTGGGTTGCACACGTGCACACACCACATGTATTGCTTGCACATGCGTGTGCACTCTCTCTCTTTCTCTCTCTTTCTCAGCTTCTTTTCTCCTTTTGTGACCCAAAAGCCAGCACCATCCTATATGTACCCAGTCCTCCCCACCCCGATGGAGCATCCCACGTGCTCTGCATCTCTGGCCCACAGTAGAGGGTGCTGGATGCAGGCAGAGCTCAGTGCCTGGGCCTGAGCCTGTCTGCCACAGGCTGTGGAGACTGCCAGCCATCACCGGGGTCTTTGAGCCCTCTCAGGAGCCAGTAGGTGGTCTGGCGTACCCTCCCACTCCACCCCAGGTTTTTGCATTTATGGAATAAATGGTAAATATTGAAACAATCCCATGCACAGGTACAGGCTGGGGACTGACTGGCTAAGCAGCAGCTTTGCAGAAAAGGACCTGGTGGGTAGAGTGGACAGCAAGCTGAATGTGAGCCAGCAGTGTGCCCTTTTTGCCAAAAAAAGGCTATGAGCATATTGGGCTGCATTGGTAGAAGCTCTGCCAGCAGATGGAGGGAAGCGATTCTTGCCCCCTATTCAGCACTCGTGAGGCCACATCTGGAGTGCTGTGTCCATTTGGGGGCCTACAGAAAGGATGTGGATACGTTGGAGAGAGTCCAGCGGAGGGCAACAAAAATGGTTCAGGGAGCTGAGGGACGTGACTTTCATCGTTTCATAGTTGGTAGGGTCAGAAGGGACCTGAGGAGATCATCTAGTCTGACCCCAATTTGTAAGGGGAGAGGACTGGGCTTATTTAGTCCGGAGAAGAGAAGACCGAGGCGGGATTTGATAACAGCCTTCCAGCTCTCATTTTCTATGATTTGATGATATTTGGCCTTTGTAGGCAGTCCCCAAGTGTGCAAACTCCAAGTTCTTTTCAGCTAATACTCCACCCAGAAACACACCTAGGCTTGACCTTAGCATCATGCTGTCAGGGCCTCCGTGGCTGTATCTGACTTTCTGCTCTTCAATGTGCTCTTTCTTTCACCCGTCCAAAACAACACCCACTGAAGCCCTCTGCCCACATAGCTCTCATTCCTGAGCAAATTCACATATGCCACTATTTTGGGAGGTCAGGTGTTACCTGCATATTGATTTGAGGCCTTTTATTGTTTGTTCGATCTAATCCAGACAACTGGTGGCTATTGCACTCACCAGTGTAAAGAGGTTTTATGCCACATATACTAAGCCTAAGCAAACTGTGCTTATGGACACACTTTTTCCTAATAAAACCACTGCTCGTGCTGGTTGTATAGTCTTCCTTGAGCAAATGCTTCATACTGCTATTTCCTGTTTGCATTTTTTTTAACTGAACAGTTAAGTTCACCACCTATTTAACTCAGATTTCCTTCTGCATTTCAAACTGGGATTGACAATGGGGGAAGCTTCTCATAAGTGAACTCCCTTTGTACTAATCCAACCTTCCTGCCACACACGTGCACACAATCCATTCTTAAAATAATGAGAAGTTTGAATGCTGTGGTACCCATCCTAGGTAATGCAGCTTCTCACAATGAAGAAAAAGTAACATAATGAATTTGATCCTTAAGGGAACAGTTTATTAGCTGTGTATATGTGGCTCAGTTAAGGTTGCAGTGATAATTTTGGGTTTTATCTGCTGCTTAAGTCAACCTATTACTATCCTCGGCACAGGTTATTTTCTTCATGATATTTCTCTGCTATTTTTGGTGATGCTGAGGGAGGAGTAGGTGGTTTTAGGACAATTTTTTTAAAAGTAACTGCAACCCTGAACAGCTCATGCAATGCAAAAGAGGCATCACTGTTGGTCATGGAAACAGGGTACTCCTATGGTCTACAAGCCTTGAGCAGCTCCTAGCTTTTGTACTGAGCCTACCGATGACAGCGACAAAAGCTTGCATGCCTCTTCTCTTGGCCCCAGCTTGTGGTCATCAGAGATAACTCCATATGAATTGCTGAACCATGGTGGGATGAAAGATTTTGCTAAGAGAGCTTTTGGTACATGAGCACTCGGTTGTGTTAGGAGCTGTACAAGCAAAGGCCCCTGCTTGAGAGAGCTGTCCAAGTTGTCACTGGGCTATGAAATGTGTCTTCTCCTTGAAGATATGATCTATTCTATATGCCAAAATCACAAAGGAAAACAGTTTCAAGTGAATAAATGTATGGTGCTTACCAACCCATGCAGATGTTGGATTGATGAAACATCAAGTCCTCCTCTCAACCCTTTGCTGCTTCTCTGCATTCGGAGACACGGTTCTCTCTGTTGTCACCCCCTCAAGAGTCCCATACAATGCTCTGCCCCGCTGCTTGTTAGTAGATAATTGTCAATTAGGTGCCTGAATACTAGGGCACTTCAAGTGAGGCATCTCCCAAGAGTGGGCATGCAGCAACTTGGAAAAATGCTAGCTCCTGCTGTGTTCTCAATAATGCTTTGGGTTCCTACAGTCACCACGTTCCTCCACCATGTTACTCCAAAAGTAACCCAGATTCCTCCCCACCCCCTGACTCTCTTATCCTACCCTCCCCAGCCCACCTCCCAGCTGTCACAAACTTCCACCCCTTCTGCTGAGCGACAAGCGATTCATCACACTCTTCTCTGCTAATCCATCCGAGCAGAGCTCTGTTCTACGTACGATCCTGAAGTTTTTGTATAAGTCTGGTAAGGGGCAAGGAAGCGGCACTGATTCCACCTTTATAGCCAGGCTTTTGGCAGTTGTGGAGAATGAGACAATAGTCCCAGCTGGGTCGTGGCTAACCCTTTGATGTAAAGTACCTATCTCCTGAGCTTCCACGTAAACTGTGTTACCTGCCGCGTTTCACAGAGCTATTCTGAATAGATAAACGAGTTAAGACGCTGGCTTCCTTATTCCATTAACTATGTATAATTTTGAAGGCTAGATGGTCTGTATCAAAACATAATTAGGCTGAGGCTGCCTGACTGAAATGAATGAGCTGCACTCGGCTTTGGCTACAGGCTTGCTATTGCGAGCCTGAGGCACTGGCACAAGAGCACTCTTTTATCAGGGTTGTTACCTGTAGTATTCCAGCTGACACGTGGGAGGGAAAGGAGACTGCTGCTCTGCAGTCGCCTGACAAAGAAATGGAAATGCGGAGGCTCCCGTCGTGGTGCTTGAAAGCAGAGCTACCTGGCAGGAAAGCAGTGATGTGAATAAAGACTTAAGGCCATGCACTGCTCTCCTTTGGCTTTGGCATGGGCACTTTTTTAATACAAAACTCAATTCTATGAGTTCTGGCTAACGCCTCTGCGTGTGACATGGCCTTTTGCAACAGTGGGTGGAGGAAGGAACGAGTTGATCTGAATCCTGAGGATGTCTTTTCCACTGGCCTCTGTGCAAATGAGATGCCACGGTAGTGAGGAGATGCATTTGGGGGCCTAAGAGGTCTTTTCCACCTTTAGCTCTTATGATAAATAGCTGGAGAGGGACACGCCACTGCTTCTCCTAAATTTAGAACAAGAATATGACTAACCTGGTATGCTGACTGATTCTTTCCCCACCGCGTCCTTTTGTTCTGTACTAGATATTAACATTATATTAGCATTACCTGCCATAACTGCTTTCTTCTGATCATCATGAAAAGGAGGTAGAGTAGCGATGCGGCAAACCGCTGGAGAATCCTTTACAGGAAGACTTGTAGGGCTACAAATCTAGAAGAGATTTAATGGGCAGAGGCATTCTCCATCCTTAAACTGATGCAAATGCTGTCCTCCAGGAAGCAAATAGGAAGGCAGAAAAATTGCCAAAGCAATTAATCATCCCCCCCTTACCACAGTAACTTTCAGTTTGCCCAGGCATGATAGGTCCACAACCCTTTCCCTGCAGTAGTGGTAGGGGGAAGTTAAACTCAGTGTCATGCAGTTCACTCTTAGCCATCAGAGGTCAGAGTCAAGGCTGCCTTTCCATTTTCCTTTCACGAGCTACTTTGCAACATCACTGCTCTTGTCTTCATGAGAGACATGTGTGCCCCTGTTGCCGTTGTGGCTGCACACCTCAAAGTACTTTAATACGCTTAAGCCCTGCAATAGCCCTCTGGATTACAGAAGTGTTATTAGCCCCATTTTACAGATGAGGAATTCTGAGGGACAGATCTTCTAAGGGTAAGATCTGAGAAGATCC